AGCCACCCCGACACCGCCACCCTCACTTACTGGCTCAGGGGTGAGTCCCCTGCAGCCCCCGGCCCTGCTGGCCTGCCCTGGGGGCGTTCTGGGGGACAGGGCTCTCCCTGGCCTGCGAACGGGTTGAAGTTGGGGTCTTCCAGCTTGTCCCAGTCCAGGCTGTAAGACCCCCGGGGAGGAGGAACGGGACCCTCGCCTGCCTCCTCAGGGGGCGCTTCCGGCCTCGCCGCTGGTCTCCTGCCCAGTTTCCTTGGTGGGCGTGGCCTTTTGCTGGGAGCATCATCCGAAAAGTCAAACTCTAGCCTGACAGGCCCCTTGCCCGCAGAGCCGGCCTTGTGGCCACTGGTCTCCTCGTCCTGAGGCCTGGGGGCCGTTGCCCCTCCAGTCTCCGGAGGACCGGCCGGAGCCGTGCTCTCAGGACCAGCAGTGTCCTCAGGGCTGGCCTGGGCCCCAGGCAGGTCTGTGGCAGGGTCTTCTCCGAGGGCTACTGGGGGGTGAGCAGCAGAGGGCGAGGGGGCCTCGGCTGAGGAGGCAGGGGGTCCGTTGGAGCTCTCTCCTGGGGCTCTGTGAGGGCCCTCTGTTCTGTCTGGGGATGCGATCCTGGGAGGATCTTCTAGAACTTCAGAGGTGGGCGCAAGGGTTTTCTCCAGGGAGTCGGAACTATCGTTCTCCTCCAAGCCTTGCCCAGGGCCATCAGACGTTCCTTGTGGAGATGGGAACTGGTTTTCAAGACTCGCAGGGGCCTGGGGACAGCTTGAGGGATCCGGGGGGGCCTGGGGCATGGAGGCAGGCCGGCAGGGATGCCCGTCTTCAGAGGCTGGCCTCGTGTCCTCCGGAGTGGGGTGGGCGGCAGCCACTGCAGGTTTCTGTAGAATCTCATCAGTGGGTTTGGCGTCCGCTTCCTTGGTGAGCTGTTGGCTTTTAAGAACAAACTCAGTCAACACTACCGAACCCGCTGGCGTTTTGAGGTTTTGTCTACATTGAAGGTATCAGCGAAAGACAGAAAAAAAGAACGTTCTGGGAACCCGTCCTCAGGCTAAACTTCCACAGCATGTATCCCTGTAGGCCACTCAGTGCCAGGGGGTGGCATCTGAGCAGCGGGTTCCCTTCCTTCTCGGCGTGGCTTTAACCCAGTGATGGCGAACCTATGACATGCTGTCAGAGGTGACACACGAACTCATTTTTATGTTGATCTTCCTTCGTTAAATGGCATTTAAATATATAAAATAAATATCGAAAATATAAGTCTTTGTTTTACTATGGTTGCAAATACCAAAAAGTTTCTATATCTGACCCGGCACCAGAGTTAAGTTAGGGTTTTTCAAAACGCTGACACGCCGAGCTCAGAAGGTTCGCCATCACTGCTCTAACAGAACAGCATCTGAGCCCCTCTAATCTCTTTCAGTTAAATTTCAAAAAGAAAATACAAAGTGACTTTGCAAAGTAACAAGGAAACCTGGGGAGAGAAAGATTCAGGTTCCAGAAGCTTCCACAGGGAACGGGCACACGGCCTAAGGATACTTTGCGCAAGGGGGCGGAAGGGTCTAGCGGGGACATTTTGCTGGAATCCCTTTCTCTGTACCTCTGAAACTGCTTAAGAGAAAGAGCAAGTTTTAAACAGCTGAAGTCAGCAACAGTCAGAAGCAAAACGTGCCTGAGGCCCTGCCCACTCCGGAGTCGGAGGGTCCCTGGCGGCCCAGGTGGGTCAGTTCAGCCAAATCGGGAGAAGGGCCGCCGGCAGGGTCCTCCTGTTCAAACAGGCAGACAGAGCTGCGGCACCTGCCCAACCGACCACCAGCCACGCCCAACACCCAACACCCAACACCCAACACCTGCGAGCTGCGGGCGGCGCTCCTGGGGCAGGCGGGGCTTAGCTCCATCGGACCAGCCCCAGACAAGCTCTGAACGAGCCATCTGCCCGCGTCTCCACGGCTTGGCTGAAGAACCCCCGCCGACTGGCCGGCAAGGGGAGACCCCAGTGGATGCAGGAAAAGGAGGCGAAGCCGCAGAGGCGTGGTCAGGGCACTCCATGGAGGCAGAGGGCCGGCCAAGGGCTCTGGGCACTGCCCAGTTCAGCGCAGACCCAGAGAGGCCCAGCGAGGCGACAGGCAGCACCACGGCTGTCCTGCCGGCCACCAGACTCGCCGAAGCGACGCACTTACTTCTCTTTCCGCGCCCAGCCGCCAGGGGAGCTTCCTCCTCCGACCCCGTCGCCCGGAGCACAGCAAGCCTCCAGCCGGCTGCTCATGCTGGGGGTCAGGATCCGGTGCGTGTGCGGGTCCCGCAGGGGCGTCTGGAAGGTCACCTGGGGGAGGGAGGAGGGAGAGGCCTGCTCAGCGCTGGTCTCCGGGGCAGGCGAGGGGCAGGGACGGGGTGGGCAGCGGGCAGGTACTCGCCTTCGTGGCCCTGGCTGTGCTCTTGGGCGGCACATTCTCCTTCTGGGACTGCAAGGTGTTTTACAATCATGCAGAGTTAAAAGATCCATCGTAAGATGGATATGCCAATGGATTTTAACCGGAGTACAAAAACTTCATTGATGTGGTTTCAGATTCTACATTGCAGCTAATCTTTTGAGAAACTTCCACTGAGTTTTGATGTAATATCAAA